GGTATGACAAGTTGTACATTATAGAAATCTACTTAACTGTTAAACAGATTTGACAGATTTACTTACCTCCCTACCCCCAAACCATTTTTTTACTGTTTCCCTCTTAATTCACTAAGGAATATACACTTACACAGTAAGAAATATGTACCATACATGGAGTTCAGCTCATGGTGCTGTACTACTGTAACGGTTCGTTCCATTTATGTTTAGCTGTCTTTACAAATTGCTTACATTGTAGATGGCTTGAACTAAACTACGAAAACCCAGCTAAATGACCTTTGTCTCCCCTTCTTTTCTCTGAGTCACATGACAATTTATTCTTTGCCATTTCCTGGGATAAATATATTAAGTGCCTATTAATAAAACTATTGCTATAAATCATTACTGTTATAAGGAAATGTTTTCACTTCATTTTTCTGATTACATCTACCTCATTTAAAAAGTATGTTTTAGGGGCTGGGGATATAGCTCAGTGGCATAAGAGCCTATCTGGGAAGTGCAAGGTCCAGAGTTGGATTCCCAGTACCAAAAAAAAAAAAAAAAAAATTCAAAAAAATAAAAAGTATGTTTTGTTTCTATTTATTGGAGCTCCCTTACTAAACTATAGAGTACCCCAGGCTTTTTGGTTGTAATCTGGTTATGTTTGCTTGTTTTTCTTTCTTTCTTATCTTTCTGAGACAGGATTTCACTATGCAGTTCAGGCTGGCCTTGAACTCACTTTGTAGCCCAGGCTGGCCTTGAACTCGCAGTAATCCTCCTGCCTCAGCTTTCCAAGTGCTGGGATTATAGGTGTGCACTACCACACGAGGCCTAGTAGCTTAATTTATGAAAGCAACCATATGATACAAATACATTATGCGCACACAGTCCATATTACAGGAAATAGTTTGCTTACAATAAATGTCATTTTGAGTAATATTTAGGACAACTTCCACGCTTGAGACAGGGTCTTGCTATGACGTTCGGGCTGGCCTTGAACTCACTGTGTGACCCAGGCTGGCCTTGAACTTGTGGCAGTCTGCCTCAGTTTCCCAAGTGCTGGTATTATAGGCATGTGCCACCACGCCTGGTGCAAGTTCCACTCTTAGGTAAACATGGGTGTCCCCTTACCAATCGCATGGTAGCGGAAAAATGTTAAATTGAAGAGCCCAGCTGTAGGACAATAGAAATGCTTCCACACATAGAGCAGTGTTATGTTGAATGCAGTTTGGATTGCACAGCCAGAAACGCCCTTTAACTTCAGCCTGCTTAACAACTGTGATGTTTACTGGTGGAGCTACTTCCACTCTAGGAGGTTCATGAACTTGTTTACTCCCACATTTTCTCTGGTTTTACCCTTTACATGTGTTCTATTACGGAGCCGCATCTGCCTTTCCATATATTAGTGAAACATTCGCAGGTTTTGGAGGTTACTCTTCAAGTTACTAAATGAGTATCAAGTAAAGATTACCCAGAAATCCTTTAATTATAGTAAATTAAAACCAGAAAGTCAAAGTTGAACTTGTAGGAACTACACAAGCAAAGAGATGAGAGTGTGTAGAGGAAAAGTACTGGCTTGACCAGAGAATGCACATGCATCAATTTACAGTCAGAAATCAAGCATATTATATGGTATATGAGGAGTTAAATATTTTTTAAGAAGAAGACATTTGTGTTTTCCTCCTTAAAACCACTCTTAGTGTTCCTGAGTTGTCTGAGTAGTTTTACTACTTCTATTCATATAATCTATTCCATGGAATTCCAAATAGCTTGTATTTTTTTTTTTAAACAAAAAGGTTAAATATAATAGAGTACTGAGAAGAGAAACATAGGTTCTCAAAGGCTTCATCTCATGCTAACAGTGGAGTGTAACCATGATAGAGTGCTCAGCATGTGCAAGGCCTCGGCTCAGTTCCTAGCTAGCACTGGAAGGGAAAAAAGACCTCTCTAACCCTTCTCTTTTGGCAGTATTACAAGTGTGTCTTTGGCCACTCATTAACCTAGACATTAATTTTCTTTTTTCTTTTTTTTTCTTTTTTTTTTTTTTCCAGTACTGGGAATCGAACTCAAAACCTTGCGCTTGCCAGGCAGGCGCTGTGCTGCTGAGCTAAATCCCCAGCCCCAATTTTCTTTTTTCTTTTCTTTCTTTCTCTTTTTTTTTTTTTTTTTTTTTAAAGGGGGAAAGGTTTATTTAGGTCACCGTGTGTAGAGGTTTCAGTGTATAATCGGCTGCCTTCAAGGCAGGGTAGCACATGGCAGAGGGTCACAGTTCATGGTTGCAAAAGACAGAAAAGCAATGAGAGAGAGAGAGAAGAGAGAGGGAGGAGGAGGAGAAAGAGGGAGAGGGAAGGAGAAAGGGAGAGGGAAAACAATTTTCAAGAGATGAAGTTTTCAAGTTTGTCTATCCTAGCGTACCTTAGTAATTGGGAACCTTTTTTTCTTCTTCTTCTTCTTCTTCTTGAGGCAGGGTCTTGCCCTGTAATTCAGGCTGGTCTTAAACTCACTTTGTAGCCCAGGCTAGCCTCGAACTCACTACAATCCTCCTGCCTCAGCCTCCCAAGTGCTGGGGTGACAGGCGTCCACCACCATGCAGGGCTTGGGAACCAAAATCTTGAAGGGTCACTGGTAGAGTGTAGTGAGAAAAACGGGTGATGTGGTAACCCCTCCACAACTTTTGCTCTAGAGTTAGTAGCGTAGGTCTAGGTGATCACTACAGTTCTCCCATTTCTAAAACTCTACAATTTCTTCTCTGCTTTCTTTTCTGTGGCAGATAGACTCTTGCATCTCTACCATGGTAGGGTTCAGTTTTACTCCTCCTTGTGAGATGGAGGGTGGGGTACAGGTGAAGTAACCTAATGTCTCAACCTACTAGAGAATTGTTAACTCTTGCTTTGTTTTATGTGTAAGAACAACTCTTTATTTAGAGTAATAAAGTACTCTTTATTTAGATGGGAAGATGTATTTAAAGTAAAAGCTAGGAATTCACTTGCTAATATGTTGGAGAAAATGTCCTAGAATAGAAAAATTTTGCAATGTTTCTTTTTCAAAACCAAATTTTAAAAATCCTCTGAAAATATATCTTAAAATGTTCATGTATTAGTTGTGGAAGTCAGATCTCTACCTTATTCCTACCTTGATGAGAATCTGTAGAGTATATTCTATCTAGGATGTGTATTTATTTATTTACAGTACTGAAATTGAACCTAGGGCCTCTTGCATGCTAAGCAAGTACTCTACCACTGAGCTACATCCCCACTTTGGCATGCATATTTTAAAATGTTAGATTTAATTATATGTAAAACATATACATGGGCCATAGAAAGTACTATTTGAATTTTGCCTAAATAACAATAATGTAATATTTTAAAATCTGGTATTTTTCTGAACAAAATTCACAGGTACTTTTATGTAGTTTGTTTCCTATATCATAATTGGAAAGCAATTTAACTTCAATTAGAAGTTTGAAAATAATGATAGAATCTTTTCCCATTGTTCACAAACTCTCTGATCTCAATTTAATTTTGTTCCCACAGACACATTCAGGTAAGCCAGATGTAATCCTCAGTGTCTCAAGAGATTTAATCTTCAAGGAAAGCAGAGCTCAGGGTCTTTTCTTTATTTAGCCCTTAATGCTTTTCAAGCCTTTGCAATAAGCAAGTGATTGATTGTGAAATGGTGATTATTAATTTCTTGGATGGAATTTGGCTTATTGCTACTAACTTTATTTCAGATTACTGAAGAAATAAATAATTACAAAAGGCAATTCAGTCATTTTATTTTAAAGCCAAATCAACATATCTGATATTAGTAATGAACTGTCATTGTAATATATTCCTTTGTTTAATTAAAGAGGAAATTTAACTCATGTCATGGGCCCTGAATCATCTTATGGAAATGCATAGTCAAATTTATGTAATGATCTTTTAAATTTACTTATTTATTTGGGGGGGCTGGTAATTGAACTCAGCACCCATTTGTGTGTGTGTGTGTGTGTGTGTTGTACTGGGGATTTAATTCAAGGCCTTTTCACTGAGCTTCATCCCTAGCCTTTTTCAAAATCTTTCATTTTGAGACAGATTTTCAGTAGGTCACTCAGGTTGGATCCTCCTGCTTTACCCTCCATGAGTGCTGTGATTACAGGTGTGTGTCATAACACTGGCTTCCTTTTTATTTTTTGAAACAGGGTTTCTCTAAATTTCCCAGGCTGGCCTCGAACTTGTGACCCTCCCATCTTCAGCATCCCCAGTAGCTGGGATTACAGAAGTATACATTTGTGTCTGGCTTTACTACATTTTTTAATGTGGTAAAATACATGTAACACACAATTTACTATTTTAACCATTTTAAGTATATAATTGACATTCGTACATCCGCAGTGTCATACAGCCATTGCTCCTCTCTACTTCCTAAATTTCTCTTCACCCCTTACAGTGCTCTACTCAGCTCCTGTTAAACCACTAACCTACTTTCTATCTATATAAATTTGCCCCTTTTTCAGTGTTTTATATGGAATCGTAAAGTGTTTTTTCTGGTGTGTTTTCAGGTTTCATCCGTGTTGTAGCATGTATCAGAATTCCATTATTTTAATAGCTGAATAATATTCCAGTCTGTGTTTGTTTGGTTTGTTTTGTTTTGGTACCGGGAGTCAAACTCAGGACCTTGCACTTGCCAAGCAGGCACTTGTGCTGCTGAGCTATGTCCCCAGCCCAATATTCCAGTCTATGAAAAGAGGAACTCAGGTGCTTGTACATCAAGGTTTTACAGCAACATTCTTCAAGATAGCCAAAAGGTAGAAACAACCCAAGTATTCTCCAGAAGATAAATGAATAAATTGTTGAGTGATTTGGTAATTTTTAAGGAATGTGATCTTTTTAATAATAGTTCTCTTTTATTACTCTTTCATTAATGTTTAAACTTTTCAGTTTTTTGCTTATTTCCTTGGTTGCTTTTGTTGCTGAATTTTTAAAAATTGTTTTGAGCATTCATTTTTTCTTTTTTTTTTTCAATTGTTTGTTTTTCAGACCCGAGTCAGAACTCCATCACAGGGGAACACAGCCAGCTGTTAGGTATAGTATCACCGCGGGAACTGACTGTCTAAAAAGTCACCTTTACCTGCTTGTATTAACATACATTACTTACTCTCCTATCCAATTCTATTTTTGTTGCCCCCTTTCTATTTTTTACCTGTGAACTATTTTCCTGCTGTTTCTGTTTCCAATTTGGTAAGCATTAGGAAATTACTACTATAATTGATAATTAACATTCAATTTAGTTACTGCATTAAAAACTAACTTTGCATGGTCTGTGCTTAAAAAATAATCTTAAAATTTTTTCCAAGATAATTTTGTAAAGAAAACATTCTGATATTCTGTAATAGTTTGGACTTTGTCCCTATTTTTCTTCGATTTTCTTGGCCTTTAATTCACCTTCATTTTATAATTACTAAAAGTACTTTATAGAGAGCATAGCCTTAAGCAATCCAGAGAAATTGGTGTGCCTGTTTCTTATATGTGAAATGAGTTATGGAAGTGAATTGATTTCTTCTAGGTGTTGCTTATTTAAATTGCAATAAACTTATAATTTGACAAGAATTTCACAAGCTCTCACAACAAATTTACAAAATATAAAAATAAGGCATACTCTGGTAAGGAATCCAAGCAGTAAATAGGTATATATGTGAAAGAAAGCGAGTCTTTTTTTTTTTTTTTTTTTTTTTTTTT